TTATTTCCAACAAATGGCAGAAACCTAGTGTTGCAAACACAATAGCCTAAAATTTCTAACAATAATATATTGAGTCACAACTTAAACATTTAAAAGTAGATAATGATAAAAAGTACTTACACGCTTGATTGTCAAAAAATCCTTTTCAATTTGAGATTTATGGTCAATAGTTTCTTGATAAACTGTACTTGGATGAATCAACTCCAACTCACTTTCATTCCAAAATACCTTGTCAAAACAAAAAGGCTCAAAAATCAACCCACAGTAAGTAAAGGCCTTTATGACTATTCTCCAAATCTAAAAACTGTATACAAAGTAGGTATTAACTATTTCAAAAGAATAATTGCGGAAACAAACTATTAGTAAGAACTATTTCAAACCCTAAAATTGGTACATGAGCAAAGTGGCCTTTAATTCCAGAAAAGAGAAATAGATTCTACAGAAATACCATAAATTAGAAGAGACTTTTTTTCATAAAACTTACTGTATTGTGTTGCTCCCCTTGCTGTGGAAGATGGCTGATATAAGGATACCATTCAGAACCCTATCATTCAGACAAAGATGTTATAGATTTAGTTTGCTCTAATAAGCTAACTATGTCACAAGTCTCAAAGAATAAATTGGTTAGCTGGCTTCTATAGATTTTCTCTTTAACACATTGTTTTTCAGTTTCATACTTTTATAGTTTACCCTGTCTTGATGTATTTCGTATTAAATTAAAAGAACTCTAAGCTAAATATAGCTATACAAAATTATATCTTATTTTACAAAAATTGAGCTCAAAAGCTCCTAAAATTCAGATGAAAATCATATCGAAGCAAAGTAATAAGGTTTACCTGACCCATTTTCTTCTCAACGAGAATAACAATAGCAAGTTTCGCAATATTTCCCACTTCCTCACCGATCAAAGATTTGATTTCAGGAGGAAGATTATCAGCAGTAATTTGCTGCAAAACCAATTATGAATACCGTCAAGAGCAAGCGGTCATTGCGACATGTGTAAGTAGTGGCATAACATAACATTCGAGCACAACTTAGAATGCGAAGCATACCACTCTGTAAGGAACCTTTAAAATGCAATCTCCAGTTTGTATTGTCTTGGAAGCAAACAGAGACCTATCAAGGGACACGACAAGAGAGTCAAAAAATGTTATAATAAACTATAATATAGTGAAAAAAAAAATGCTTCGACATTTCATTTTGAGTTGTGAAGAATCTTATCCTGGAACAAGTGACCCCAAAATAATTGCCAATGTCATTTGAATTTTGTAACAATAATAGTCTACAATTGAACGAGGAAGACGAACCTTCCATAAGAAGATTTGCCGATGAAAAGTGAGGAAGAAACTGCAGATTCAGCTTTCCGCTCCAACCACGGCAAAAATTCGTGACAATTGGCAGAAAACTAGTGTTCGGGTGAGGGGAAAAGGATTGAGAAAAATATGAAAATGATTTATTAATTTAATATAGAAAGAGGAATTTGAAGTGAACCTGAGATTTTGACAGAGAGAAAGAACAGAAGCTAAGGTGGAGACAACGAAGAGACCGCCGCAAGCTTGCAGTTACTGTGCGAGCTCGAAGTGGCATTGCTCGACTTCGAATGGCCGCGTGTCGTTACCATAAGAAGTGGTTGACCCTGCCCTCTCCCTAGCTCACTCACTCTGCTGCAAATGCATTCAGTCCATTTTATAATCTGATGATTCCATTACACTTGTGTTATTCTTGATTTTGTTCTAATCATTTTTAACATAATTACATTTCCTATAAATTATTTACAAATAATAGTTTAAGTAGAGTTGTCAAATAAGTTAATTTGTCTCATTATATATTGAAAAAATAAATTGAAATTTTGATAGAATTAATTTTGAGTTTGGTTCCTTAAAAATTGGATTTAGATTTATTTGAGTTGAATTTATATTGATTTGATTTCACTCATCAATTTATTTAATTTTGTTTTATATTTAGAATTTAAGATAATTTTAAATTGTATTTTGTTTATATTATATGTTTTTTTATTTTAAATTATTTTTGAAATTTAATATTAAAGTGAAATTTATTTAAATTTGAATTAGAAAGAATTGTTATTTTTTTTAATTGAAAAAAAAAACTTAACAAGATTTTAAGATATTGTGAGTTCGGATTTCAAGATCTCATGAGTTTCTTAAACTGAATTTCAAAATTTTAGTGAGATTCTAAATCGAATGTATTCCGGTTGGTTTTTGAATTGTATTTTAAAATCTAATGTTTTCCAATAAATTATATTTCAAAATTTGTTACTTCTGAATCACTATATTTTAATAACTTTTTTTAACAATTTTTTTATAACAGACTATGTGTTACTATTTTATTGGTCTGTATATTTGAAACGGATCAACAATACGCTATCACGTAAGATTTTGTAAAAAAGTTGTCAAAATAAAATTGTTAAAAAAACATTTTTCCTTTTGTAAATCGAATTTTTAAATTTGTTCTTTCAAAATTCAGTAATTAGTAAATCTATTCATCCTATGTATTTCGAAATTAGCTGAATATGTTTGCAAATCAAATTTCAAAATTCAATATATACAAAATATAATAAAAATAAAAATCAAATTTCAAGTGCACATGAATGAATGAAAAGTAAAACCAACAAAAACGAATAAAATACGTGTATATGGACAAAGACGAATGAAAATAAATGGAATTTCAAAGGAGAAGAACAAAAATAAAGGAAAACAAATCAGAAGAAGTTGAATCCCATTAAAAGAAGAATACGACGAAAGAAGAGAGAAAACCTTATTGTTTCGAAAATGACTCGGTGGTGCAAGGTCTTAGTAAATATATCATTCTGCATAATAAATACATTTGGTAAGCACTAAATACTAATTATTTTATTTATATAATATTTTATACATATTTCGAAGGGACATATTTAGCATCACAATATTTAACATCATAGTAAAATTTGGAGGTGTAAGAAGAAAAGCTCCAAATCTCAAGTTCTCTGTTACCTGAAAATCCAGGTCCAGAACTTAGATCAGGCCTAGCCCTTATTCGATAGGCTCAAGTGCTGTCTTGTTTCCTCATCCAATTGCAGCACCTATTACAGACAATTTATGAATTAAACTGTTTTAAAACAATTATCTGAAATGTGTTTATTATTACTAATTTATTCAATTAATTTGATATTTATAAAAATGTTAATTAAGATAGCTTAAAATATTTTATTTAAAAAAAATCAGTTTTTAGTTATAAGTTATTCTAGTTAACTTGTTATAATGCATAATATTTAATTCTCTTTAATTATCGTTGCCAATATTTTAATTAATTTATTTTTTATCTTTTAATATTATTATCATATATATATATATATATATATATTCAATTTTACATAAACAAACATATTTTTAATATAGAATTGCAATTAAAAATGTATTAAACAAATTAGTTGCGGATTAGTAGTTGGTGGTAGGAGTTGGGAATGGAAATCAGAGTTACAGGTACTTTTATAACATAATTGCAACTTTAGAACAACAAGTCTTACATAAGGCCTTCTGGTTGCTTCTTCTCGGCAACATTGGAGACGAATGCACAGAATAATATAAAACTTTATTCAAAAACGGTCCATCCACACACCTATTATTGTCCACATTACTACATAAGAGTCACAGGTGTTGTTTGCTTCAAATACTCTCGAACTTGCGTGACACTTAGATCTGCTCTCACTGGAACACGTATTCCAATCACCATGACAATTGGCAACAGATCAATTAAACTGTCCCATTTATCCTAGTACTTTGTTTTCTATCTCCATTGATTTTGGTCTTAAAAATATAATAAATATATTGTAGTTGTACGGTCACTCTCATTCAAAGTTGGAATACTTGAGATGGGAATCACTTGGATCATTTAATGCTAAATAAGATTCTGACGGAAAGTATTGGCATGTGAAATCACAGTTTATTTTTATGGAAATCACAGTTTTAACTTTCATGCTAGTGTGGAAAATTAAACCAGACCACTATGTACAGTTCGACAGATTCAATTATGTGAATCATAAACTCATTATTTTAAAAATCAATGCACTCAAGTGTATTTACACATTTATGAAACATTTTCTCTGCTAAAATTACAATCACACCTTTAAATACAGTAGTAAACTGAGATGATGGAAAACAGGGCAGACAGAAAATATTGAAGACTAACGGAATCAAATTTATATTGTTGCTTTTAAGTCTGATAATTAAAGCTTTTGTTGTAGTGAGGAGATTTCATCAATTCAAGTTTGTAATACGAACAACAGAACTATTATTACATTAAAACAAACTTGTTCACTCTTTACAACAACATTTTAAGGGCAACCACTTTATGTTACACAACATTGAAGCCTATGAACATAAGAAACACAAAATTAAACCTAGAAAAAAATTGCCAAATCAGAAACCCCGTCATTCTCTTCAATCCAAGCAAGGTTGAGAGTTAGTTTGCCATCAGGCAGCCACTGGAAAGCAGCATCAGAACCATTCAGTTGGAACTTCTTTGGAGATTGAGTTGAGTAAGCAAGGAATCTCCCACCACCCTTAACCTTAACTTTAACATCCTTCTCAATATACTCCAATTCTTGAATTGTGCCTCCACTGTTGAACATGTTTGTTAGCCCAATGGGTGCAAATTTTATGTTGCTACTACCTAGCTTTTCAACTGGGACAAAGTTATAAAGTTCAAAAGTGGATGGTTGAATAGTTAATTGCAGTGGTTCAGACACGGGGGTCATCAAATGCAGTACCTCAGCCTGATTGAGGTACACAACATACTCCTCTGCCTTACCCATATGTTCTGCTTCTTTCTTTTGATCCCATTCAACCTCAGTTACATGAACAGTGCATGATATTGCTTTGTAACACTCTGGGAAACCCTTAAATTTCTTCCCCTTTGGGTCCCAACCAGCCCCTTGACAGTTGAAAGCACCAATAACTCCTCCATACTATTA